GTTCCCACTCGAGTCAGATGTCACGTGACTCAGTCGCACCACTCCCGACCCCGATCGAGTGTCACGTGACCCCGTTCTGACCTGTCCTCCGCTCGTGTCAGGTCGCCAAGCAGCAGCTGGCGCCGGCCGGCCAGCCGCTGCCGTTCTACATGAAGGTGCTGATCGCGGCCAGCGGCGGAGCTTGCGGCGGCTTCATCGGTGAGCCGGCGGCGGGTCAGGTCGCCACGGGGTGGGGTAAAAGGTCACGGGGTGTGGCTAAGGGGCCACAGAGGTCAAGCCAGGAGGTTACAGATCAAGAGATCACACAGGCTGCCGGTATGGGGGTGAGGTCACGGAGGTTACGGAAGGCAATCAGGTCAGCGGACGGTATCGGAGGTCGGGGCAGGAGGTCAAGGTGGTTCTCAAAGTCAAAAGGGTGGGGGACTGGAGGAAGACGCCGGTCCGGATTACCGGAGTCACGGCAATCGTGTATCGTGGGCGCTATAGGCCTAGACTGGGACGATAGCGGCACTGGACAGAGTTTATGGCCGATATCTTTATTTCGTCCTTAGTTGTGTTTTTTTTCGGCGCGATAAGCATAAGTCTCGTCCGCGCTGGATAACGTTGTCCGCAGTTTAAACAGGGCACGTGGATCGCTTTGTGTGGACAGATCATGACGAATGCTCAGCACGTCATGATCATGACCACGTCATGTCACGTCATGTCTCGTCTCTCGTCACATCTCTCTCTCTCGTCCCGTCTCGTCACGTCATGATCATGACGATCAAGTCCTGAATGCGTGCCCAGCCTGCCAGTGCTCACAGGACTGTGACCTGACCTGATCTTGAACTGACCTTGACCTCGGCAGGCACGCCGGCCGACATGGTTAACGTCCGCATGCAGAACGACATCAAGCTGGCTCCGGAGAAGCGTCGCAAGTGAGTGCCCCTGTGGGAAAGGTCTGGCGTTCCGCCCCAGCCACGCAGTGTCGGCTGCGCTAGTGAAGCGGGGCCCATCGATGCTACGTTTGGTCCGTGCATACCTCCACTGGGCTGTTGTTGTTACCGTCCAACAGAACGAGCCGCCTGGTGCACGTGGTCTCCCCTCGACAGCAGTGACGGTGTGCTGACGCTATTTTATTAGGTCTACACCCTTAAAGTTTGGAAAATCCGGTAATCCAGGCATAAATGCTTCGGATTTCTAAGCGCACATGATTGTGTTCTTGCTCGATGTTCTGCATGTCGAAATTCGCCGGGAACGTGAGCGGTCCTAACGCTTCAGGAATCGCTGTTTTTCTTGTAGACTTTTGCGGTGATTCCCTTTAGTGAACCCCTACAAACACATCGTGAACGTACACCATGATAACACGGACCTCCACGCGCCGCGCGATGCAGTGGCCTGGTCTCGTGAGCCGCCCCTGCCGCCGGCAGCTACAAGCACGCGGTGGACGGTCTGTACCGGGTGTTGCGCGAGGAGGGCGTGCGGCGCCTGTTTTCGGGCGCTTCCTCGGCCACCATGAGGGCCGTCCTGATGACCGTCGGCCAGCTGAGCTTCTACGACCAGGTTGGCCGACTGGGCCCGGAGCGGCGGACCCGGGGCAGGGGGAGGCGGCGGCTGGGCCCGGAGCGGCGGATCTGGGACAGGGGGAGGCGACTGGGCCCGGAGCGACGGACCCGGGGCAGGGTAGGCGGCGACTGGGCCCGGAGCGGCGGACCTGGGGCAGGGGGAGGCGGGGACTGGGCCCGGAGCGACGGGCCTGGGGCAGGAAGAGGTGGCACAGATGGTCGGGGTAGGGCGGAGCTCAGGCGGCTGTGGCGTGCCGTGTGTTTGGTGTTCCGTTGCCGTCTCCATGGGTGCGTGGGTTGTATATGGGGCCAGGATCGGGACTTGGTTGGCGGGGCGGGAGTGTTTTAGCGCTTGGCGTCCTGCCGGGTGAAGCGCTTCTAAAAGTGTAGCAGTGCCAGGTGTCTGAGAGCGATCTCATGATTACGCTTGCGAGTGGACACATAACAGCCCCGGGCATTTCGCTTGCGTGACGTTGCGCCTGACCGAGTACTCAACTTCATCTCGTGGTGCAGTTTACTTCACTTCACTTCACTTCACTTCACTTCGCTTCATCTATTTACTTCATTTCTTCTCTTCACTTCTTCATTTCACTTCTTCACTTTTTTATTTCATTTTTTCTCTTCACTTCTTCACTTCACTTCTTCACATCACTTTGCGGTGCAGTTCACTTGGCGTTGACATCCGCGTCTCGCGCGCGCGGACGTCTGTTCGCCGTCGTCGATGGGTCTCGGTGCGTGCGATCCGCCCGCGTCCTGCCGCCGCCTCACCGCGCGCGCGTGCCGTCCCGCCAGGTGAAGCAGACGCTGCTGGGCACGGGCCTGTTCCAGGACAACGTCACCACCCACTTCACCTCCAGCTTGACCGCGGTCAGTGGCGGGCGCGGCCGGCCGACTGCCGCCGCTGCCGCCCTTCTGCTCTCCATAACGTCCGCCGGTGTCGCTCCGGCCGGCGTCTTTCGTGCTGCCTCAGAACGAGTTGTCACTTGCCTTCGTTTTAGACAAGTTGTGTTATAGACGAGTTTAAGCATAGGGACACGTTGTGTTCAGCGCCGGCTGGCGACGTCATTATCCCAGCATCCATGGTCAAGCCTGCTTTCTGCTCACTCCCGGACAGCTCAATGGCGCTCAGCGATGCCGCTCTTGCGTCACCGATGACACCAGGCCCCGAGTGACTGTTCCCCGATGATTGCCGTGTGACTTCTGCGACTTCCATGTGACTGATGGGGCTCCGCGGTGATTCTATTGACTCCCCAGTGACTCCCCTGTGGCTCTCGTGTGACTCCAGTGAGTATATTGTGGCTCTCCGTGACTGCCCAATGACTTCCGTGTGACCAAAGTGATTTTCATGAGACTCCCCGGTGACTCCCGATTGATTCTACGGTAACTCCCGTAGGGCGTCGTGGTGACTCAATGTGACTCCCCGGTGACTCTCTGGTGAGCCACCTCCCCACCGCTGCCGTCCCAGTGCCTTCTGTGAGCCCCGAATGGCTCCAGGTGACTCGTGTCGGGGTGGGGGGGGGGGGGGGTGCCGGTAATGTAGTGGTTAACGCGTCTGCGTTAACCACTGCGCGTCTGGGAAACCAGAGGTACGGGATTCGATTCCTCGCGGGGCCCGCCCTTCTTGCCAGGGTGAGAGGCAGGCGACGCCGTACAGCCTCAGCAGCTGAGTGCGTCGTAAAGCCCCAATGACACGCACGCACGCACGCACGCACGCACGCACGCACGCACGCACGCACGCACGCACGCACGCACGCACGCACGCACGCACGCACGCACGCACGCACGCACGCACACACACACACACACACACACACACACACACACACACACACACACACACACACACACACACACACACACACACACACACACACACACACGTGACTCGTGTCCCCAGTAACTTCTGTGACTCCCTGTTGACTCCCGTGTGATTCCCCGGTGAACCGCCGACGCCTCCCAATGACGGTGAGCCGCCGCTGACTTCCCAGTGACACCCCGCCTTCTTTGGACAGGGCGCTATCGCCACCACCATGACTCAGCCGATGGACGTCATCAAGACGCGCACCATGAACGCTAAGCCCGGCGAGTTCAGGGTCAGTTGAGGCCGGGGTCGTAAAAGGGAACAGCCTAAGCATGGCCAGCTAATCCGAGCGTAGGACGTGACGGGGGCTAAGTCGGTTTTAAATCTTCCGGATGATGTAACTATGCTGGGATGGCTCAAAACAAGTTCTGTTAAGTGCAAGTGCTGACGGTGCAAATTCCCGTGGCGCGGCTTAGCGAAGCGCAAAACATGACTTGCACAGTTCGGGGCTCCAGAGATCAGTCGTTTGCCGCATTGCTGCCGACTTACCGAAGCGACCCGCGACGCGACGGGGGGCTTTGGCCGTGTTGGCCAATGGTGCGGGGGCGCTCAGGACTCATGTGGTGTTTGTGTACATCGCTGGCGCGGGGGCTTTTTGATACTCTGACATCCACAACTTGAACGCCGAAAAAGACATCATGGCTTAAGTGGTGTGGCCCGATCGCCTCGTCCCCTGTCCGGCGCTTTCGCCTTTTCCGCCACAACGTCACGATCAGAGACTTCAGAGCGAGCTGCCAGCTGCAGCGTCCGTGGACTCGCGCGCTTGTTTGACCTCCCGAACGTCTGGCGCTCCCGGAAAATAAGTATCGCGCTATGTACAGATTTTTTACACGTGCGCACTGGTACACCGCTGGCGGCGTCCGATCACGCCGTGATGACGTCACCTGCCTCGTCTGTTTGTTTATTTAGGGCATAGGCAGTCCACAGGCGCCCAGTTACGAAAGCAGTCCAGTTTTTAAAATAATAAATACACGACATATGCACAAAAATGAACTGAACACTTACATATACACTTGAAACTAAATCACGCATGCACCTTACACACTCAGACACGACGGCCATCAAAATAGTGTTCTACAACTGTGAATGAACCTAAACAAATAGAACTGGAATGAGTTTGTTGGCTGAAAATGGTCATTTGAGAGAGCATTCTGTACAAGACTGTTGCAGGCAACAGGTAGACGTGTGACAAATCAATTCTTTACAGTGCATATGTACATCTGCAGCCCTTTCAAGTGGCTTGTGGAGTGGGGATGAAATGATGAAAGGTGAAAAAGATGAAATTGGAAATGAAATTATACATATATATCTGCAGCCCTTGCCAGTATGCACAGAGCGCCGGGTGGGTGCGGTCAGGCCGAACAGTGGTGTCAGGATGTTGAGCGCCTTCTCGGTGTCACGCCACCCGCGCGTGACGGACCGCTCGTGCCCCCAGGGCATGTGGCACATCATCACGCACACCGCCAAACTGGGACCGCTGGGCTTCTTCAAGGTGAGTGGCCTCCACCGTCTGCCCGGCGGATGGCTGTTTGGCGGCGGATGTGGCCGCTGAACTCATGTTTTGTGCCGGAACGGTCCGGTGGAAGCTGTTCATCACTATTCCTTGCAGGGTGAATGTGGTGTGGTGGGGACGGTTTGTTCTGGGTAGTGACTGTGTATGTGGGATGCGTGTTTGCAGCTTTCTTGTGTCATTTAAATTGCCATTCGGGCCAGCCGAGAAATGCTTGGCCTAATCATTTGATGGAGGTGCACGTGTCTTCCGCTGAAGTGTGGCGTGTATGATTCAGTTTCAAAGAATGGATTACTTCTTAAAACCTTCTTAACTATCTTGCTTCAACTCAGTTCAAACGCAGGCTGCTTCTCAAGCGAGATGATAGAATGTTAATTCTTCAGGTTTATTAAAAATCGCGATTTTAAGTTCAGCTTGCAGGTATTGTATGTTGTCCTGACCGTTTCAGGGCTACGTGCCGGCCTTCGTGCGCTTGGGGCCGCAGACCATCCTGACGTTCATGTTCCTGGAACAACTCCGGCAAAATTTCGGCACGCTGCCGGCTCCCAAATAGTGCTGCCATCCAGGGGCGGCGAGGCGCACTCAGAGTCCGAGCTTGGCCGGTAGATGGTGGGCAGAATCATGGTGCAATATCGGCTGATGATCACGTTACGCGGAACTGCAAATCGGGCTTGGCCAGTGCTGGTGCATATGGTGCGTCGGCGCTTTGTCTCTGTGTGTGTGTGCATGCACGAAGGATTAGGAGAGGTATTTGACTACTAGCGCTGAGGGCATAGATTTGAGAACTTTCACGTTTGTGGGGCTTAGCCCTTCACTGCGAATTTGCGGTCATTCAGCGGATGTTCCGTGGCACGTGGTGCCGTTCTGTGGCGATGCCTCCCGTCTCCAGCCATTCTCCTCAGGAATTCGATTTTTGACCATCAGCATTTACCGGTTACGTGCTGCCGCTGTCCGCAAGCGTGCACTTGCCGCAGAGAGCGGCATTTGACACACAATACTGGCTCATGAATCTTGATACTCGCGGGCCAGTGGGTTATACAGGTTTTAGATGCGTCTTCGAGTTTATGTCCAATGAGTGCTAGCTATGACTGATGTCTGCATGGTGACCGGGTGTCAGACGAGGGCTGCCGAATGCGCCGCTGTCTCGGAATCAAAATGTTCGACAGCCACGGAATCGCATGCGTCGCTTCCAGTGATGAGGACACGCGTGTCCCGCCTATGACGGCGCTGCAATAAAACTCGCCTGGCAGCAGGAGCTGGTTGTTTGAACGTCCACGCGTCGGCGATACTCGGTGTCTTTAACGTCCGCGCTGGGGTCATCGGGAGCGCGGATTATTGATGCCGAGGACGCTACGTCGTCACGGCGCATGGGCCGCACGGTCCACCGCACTGAACCGGGTCGGTTCACTGACCTTCCATGCCGGGTTACACATTCCATTAGGAAGTCTCCCGCAGCGGTACAGTCTAAACACACGCCTCTTCGCTTGTTGCCCGGTGCTTTTTAGCGTGTAACGTTCAACGGCTTATGACTTCTGCGCGTGATTCGTGAGTGTTCGAGCGCTCTTGCTTGCGCTCTGATTGGAGGAATGCATTACGAACTTATCAGCTGGCTCAGTAATGATGTGCCTTTGTTATTCGAGTTACAAGACACTCGTTATCGCTTTCCCCGACCGCCGCGCCTCCGTTCACATCGTTCAGACTGCAACTGAGAACATCTGACCATGTCAGAATTGTATTTTTCAACAATGCGCACGATTTCTGGAAGCAACGCAAACCTGCAGGAACAACGCGACCAAAACCAAGGCTCAATACAAGCAAGACAACCCACGGTCAGTTTTCGTTCGGCACGTTGCCGCGCCGACCAGGATGGTGACCGCCGCGCCGTGATTGTCCCGCGTCTACACCATCTCAAAGGATGAGGCCCATTATCACATGGGATAACAAGCGGCAAAAGAATGGCGCTACGCTCCGTCGGGACGGAAATAGAAAGCATTACTGTACAAAAATGAACCAATGAAACCCTGGCTGCAGAAGACTTCGGAAACGACCGCCATCGTAGCGCTCAAGGACTACTCGAGTGTCGCGGGGTTTAATCCTCACTACGGCTAGCTGTTGTGACACACAGCGGCTAATGCCACGAGGCTCGTGTAGCCGGGCACCGCATTTTTGGGAAAACCACCGGATGCAACCGGCTGAGATTAGCGGGCCTCACGACAAACGTCACCACCGCCATAATCCGTGGTCACTTCGGCATCTTCGTTCGTAGGCGTGTCACGTGGCTACGGTAGCCACGTTCCAGAAGGGTAAGGGCCTAATCAAACCAGAGGAATGAAGCAGTCTGACTCAAAATCGTGCGATGGGCGGAGGAAACGCGGGAAAGGTTTATTCCAGACCGAAATTAAAGGAACGGAACTCCATTCTGGTTGTCGTTGTCTCCCACACCTCCCCAGTGGCCACAGCCAGGCGCACATCCATCCTTTTTGCCAGCCAGCCCTAGCCCACACCACAAGCACACGAGATCTAGTAACGCGGCTCTCCTGCTCTGACAGCTGACCAACGAGGGACTTTGTCGTCTTCAAAGCTCCCCACTCCACGGGCGTCCAATTCCCAGTACACCACGGCTGGGCGGAGCCTCACACCTCTCAGCCGGGGTTGGAGCTCCTGGGCGCCGTCTGGGGCCCCGATGCTCCGAAACATCGGCGTCTGTACTGTTTTGTGCTGTTTTGGCTGTGTTGTACTGCTTTTGTACTGATGTACTGTTTTGGCGTGTGCTTGGCATTTCGGATTCTATACAGGCCCTTGACCCCATGCTCCGCAGGAAGACATGCAATGGCGCAGGCCGACCGCACACTAGATCAGATGTGTGGCGGTCTCCTGCACCCACTCGGCCCCATTACTAGGCCCCACCCCTGCCTTCATAAGGAGGCCCTCCCCTGCACGCGGCCGCCATAGTCGGTGAGGTCGGATCGGCGCTGTGCTTGCACCTCGGGACCGGTCAGGTGAGCGGAGAGATCAGAGGGACCGGTTAGGTGAGCGGAGGGATCGGTCAGGTGAGCGGGGAGATCAGAGGGACCGGCCAGGTGAGCGGAGGGACTGGTCAGATGAGCGGAGGACCAGAGGGACCGGCCAGGTGAAAGGATGGACCTGAGGGACCGGTCAGGTGAGCGGAGGGACCAGAGGGACCGGTTAGGTGAGCGGGAGATCAAAGGGACCGCTCAGATGAGCGGGGAGATAGGAGAGACCGGTCAGGTGAGCGGAAGGACCGGTCAGGTGAACGAAGGGAGCGGTCAGGTGAGCGGGGAGATCAGAGACCGGAGACCGGTCAAGTGAGCGGAGGGACTGGTCAGATGAGCGAGGGACCAGAGGGACCGGTCAGGTGAGAGGATGGACCTGAGGGACCGGTCAGGTGAGCGGAGGGACCAGAGGGACCGGTCAGGTGAGCGGGAGATCAAAGGGACCGCTCAGATGAGCGGGGAGATAGGAGGGACCGGTCAGGTGAGCGGAGGGACCGGTCAGGTGAACGAAGGGAGCGGTCAGGTGAGCGGGGAGATCAGAGACCGGAGACCGGTCAAGTGAGCGGAGGGACTGGTCAGATGAGCGAGGGACCAGAGGGACCGGTCAGGTGAGAGGAGGGATTATAGGGACCGGTCAGGTGAGCGGACGGACCAGAGGGACCGGTCAGGTGAGCGGACGGACCAGAGGGACAGGTCAGGTGAGCGGACAAACCAGAGGGACAGGTCAAGTGAGCGGATGGACCAGAGGGACCGGTCAGGTGAGCGGAGGGACCAGAGGGACTGGTCAGGTGAGCGGACGGACCAGAGGGATCGGTCAGGTGAGCGGAGGGACCAGAGGGGCCGATCAGGTGAGCGCAGGGACCAGAGGGACCGGTCAGGTCAGGAGCGTGAGCGCTGTGGCCGGCTGTGGTGCCGACACACGCGTCCTCCGGCGCGCCGATCGGTCTGTTGTCCACGTCCAGCGTCCTCTGTGCGGTGTCATAAAATATGTTGACGGCATGACGGAGAATCCAGGTCAATCTTTAGTGAATCCAGCGGTGGACAGCAGCAAAATACGAGCGACAAGGAAGAAGTTTCTGAAAGCGAGCTTTCTTTGAAAAGTGAAAGAAAGTGAAATTTCGGGAAACGAGCTTTCGGACTGCGCCTGGGTGCCTGCCGGCCTGAACAGTCATAGAGGCTTGTGTACCCCTCGTACGTGATCACGGGTAGTGCAGTACATGTGTGTGAAAACAACGTGTCTGGGCGTCTTCTAGCCTCTGCTCGGGAGACTCTGCAGCAGGCAGGCACTGGGTGAATATAAGAGTTGCATTGTATGCATTAGGGAAGTGCTAGAGCCTGCATCTTCTAAGGTCATGCCAGGTCATATTGTGATTGTCCTCACCGGTTACAGTTGGTTGGCGTTCCGTCCGATTTTCCGTGCCGTCGCGCCAGGTTGCGCGGTCAAGGTCGTTCAAGGTCGAGCCGCCGCGCAGAGGCGCGCCCGTCGCTTCGCCGAGCGCGCCTTGTCACACGTACCACATTTTTCTCTCACAATTACGCTCCCTTTCCTCTACGCATCCTCGACCTCTTGCTTTATACCGTCCAATCGCTACATCGGTCTGAAGGCCGACGTTCTCTGGCACTGTGCCAAGACGTCGCCTGTTACTCCGTCTGCTGTACTGCTTCTTGTTGGTTGATCCCAAGTGACTGGGTTTCATCCCTGTCTTCAGAGTTGTCTGAATCCAAATCAAGGTCCTCATTGCAAGGGGCCAATGCTTGTCCACTGGGATGGTTGACTGATTTGCCTTCATCTGCCAAACCTGATGTGTGCCGTGCTGTAGGTGTTGCTACCCCTTCTTCGGTCTGGGGCAGCAGTCGCTCTTTCCTGCGTCCCACATCCTTCACTTGATCCTAATGGTGGACATATCGCTGCCGAAAGTGGTCATCCTTTTTGATCCGATGCGCATTACTTTGCGTACAACTGATGACAGCCAATAAACTCCAGGCTCTCACCGTGCCTGGAGTTTTCCCGGCATTCCCGACTGTTTCGGCACCTTCATGAATACCCCATCTCCCTCTTGGTGTCGGGTTTCACTTCCACTCTGCTGGCCTCTAAACACCCTCTCCCTCTTCTCATCTTTCCTGGCAATCGCCTGCTTGTGAGCCCCGGTCAGGTTCTGGGCGAAATCTCTTGCCCAACCTTTCTCTGAAGCGGCGTGGCCTGGAACCCTGCCGTCCAGTCGAGCCAGCTCCGGAATGCGTGGGTCAGGCATGGCCATACTGCAGATAGAATGGTGATAATCCTGTTGTACGGTGAGGGGCGCTCATGTATTCGAAACGAGTAAAACGTACATACCTGTACCAGCTTCCACCAAATTTTTGCGTGTTCCTGCGTAGCAAAGAACCGATTGTTTGATTGACGCGTTCAACTGCTCCATTTGGCTGCGAATAATAGGCGCTTCCCTGATTTTTGTCAATACCCATCAACCTCGCTAACGCAGTCGAGCTCGGTTTATCGAATTCCAGGCCTCGGTTCGTGCAGAGCGACTCAAGGAGTCCATGCCTGTAGACGACTATGTCAACAAGTGTCCAAGCTACGGTTTCAAGCTGTCGTATCAGGAATTACTGCTAGCTCTACGCTTTTGGTCAGCACATCCAGGGCCGCAAGAACGTAACGATTTCTCCTTTCCGTCGCTCTTCGGCAGAACGATCCCATCAGATCATGAGATCAGATCTGATCAGATCTGATCAGATCAGATCAGATCATCAGATCCACGCCAACGTGCTGCCACGGAGCTATTGGCTGAATAGTTATCTCCAGCGAAGCTTTCAAACCACGCCGAGGTTCGTTGGAGCGGACACAAACCAAACAACTGCGGCCATAGTTCCTTATATCTCGATCCACCCTGTCCACATGTACCCCGCTTGCAGCACCCAGACACGGGTCCTGTTCGCGCCGAAATGACCGGACCTGTCGTACTTGAGGTGGAGCACTCGAGCGCCCAGTCGTCGTGGAAAAAGCAGGCGCTTGGTTTTTCCTTTTTCTACCTAGGAGGGGGGGGGGAGGGGGGCGGCGGCGCTAGCAATCGATCTCCGATTCCAAGCTCTGCCGGCGCCCCTGCCAGCAGGCGGCCCTTGCGTCATGTTCAGCCGGAGCTCCTGATGCAAGCTTCGCAGAGGCTTCTCCGTCTGCTGCGCTCCCTGTAGTTCCTCGACGCTCAGCTCCTCCGCAGTGTGGGACGTGACGACAGCAGTGGCAGGG